CATTCTGTGTGATATGCTAACCTTAACTTTCCACAGATGAAATACCTTTCCTTTCTAGACCACACAGCAAACAGACCAAGGAGATTAGCAAGAATAAGTCATAGCCAAACATATTTGGACACTTATTAAATCATCACTACAATAACTAAAATAGCATCCCCAGAGAGATTTTATGTTCTATGTATTTTTTGTCACTCTGCATTTRCAAAAGAGACAGCTGCCAACCCAAAAGGTTGAAACTCACAGTTCTTAACATTTCAGAAGTTGAATACAGGGTGGGTCATAAACACTGAAAAAATTTCAGAGTGCAGGAAAGACTATGCAGAGTCAAAGACTTAGGATCTGAGGTGAYAGAAAAGTTAAAAGGCTCACTGCCTGGAATATCTGGTTTCCCCACAAGCAAAACTAACAAAATCAAAATCTCAGGTCTTGGAAATAGAAGACAGCCCTCCTGAGAATTTTATTTTAAAAACATATTTTCTTCCATTTCATTTAAGAGGAGACTTGCTTTACAGTGACAGATGATGCAATTTTGAAAGGCAAATGAGACTTACTTTATGACCAACCCATTTCTCCACTCCTCAGGAGGTCCTTCAGAAAACCAGTGGGTTTTTCTGTATAGCACAAGGAGATAAATCAGCTGATAAACAGGTGCATGATAAAAATGGTTTCCTTCACTCAGCATGGAAGCTGAGGTTGTAGAAACATGAAAGTTGTCTTAATGTGACATTTTTCAGATTAGCACTCAGATCCAGGATGCTCAAGGCATTTTCTATCTGCTGCATACCAAGAGAATGGGAAGAGCCATAGTTTGAACTCTGGCATGCTGAGGAACGACCCAAGACTGCGCATACTGGAGGCTGTKGTTGTGGAGTGGTATTACAGGCTCTTAATTCATCTGATCTGGAAGGTGAATTATGTGTGTAATAAATATCAACATTAACATGGACCATATTGATAGATTMTTTCTGGAGCACTTACAGACCTCCATGCATTATAAGTACACCAAAAACACTTAGAGATAATTACATTAATTTCTACAGAAGAGAGGGCATGTAGGGCTTTTYCTTCCTTGTGACCGATGACCTCTCCTTCCAAATATCTGAGTAATTTTGACCTGAATCAAGTAGGCAGGTAGCCAACTACCTATCTGCATGTACAGCTACGTGTAAAGTACACGGATGTACACTTTTATATCCCATCAAAGTCATGTTTGGGGCTATGATTTGATCAAGATCTAGTGTGTGGATTTGGGTTAAAGGTTTAAAAAGAAAAGTAAAGCCTAAGCCTTCAAAACACAATTGAAAAGGAATGGCTGTTTTCCTAATGGTCTCATTTTAGCTATTTTTTGAAGAATACACTTACATATTGTCCAACAGATGTCAAGAAAACCTCWTTGTTTATGCCTGCTATCCATTCAACCACTTCATGTACTAATACATACATACATATATATATATATATTTTAAAAATACAAATATATATGTTTACATACATATGTATGTGCTGTGTTCTGACCCATACAGGMATTGGATCACCTCTTTTTTAGCCAGAGAAATGCAGCTCTGGATACAGAAGCAGCTGTTTACTTTGTGTGATCCACTCATTCCTAGATTTTCTGTGTCCGTATGTGAGTAGAAMGGGGAAGTAAAGCTAACACAGTATCTCACCAATAGACTTCACTACCTCTGGAAAAAAAAAAAAACTCAGGAAAAAACACTCAAAATCAGTTATTTGGGTGTTTTAAAATCATCCATTCGAGTCTTATTGCTATAAATTTGGGGAAGAAGAAAAAAGATGAAAGAAGGTACAAGATGCTGCTTAAGATYTTGATTCTTTTAGGATCTACTCCAGTCTCTCATACAAATCCCATTTCCTTACCCGGCTCCCAGGCCGTGATGTTACTGCCCGAGCTAGGCAGAGTATGCTATGCTGGCTCTTGCAGGATCACAGTGTGTGTGACACTGACCAGCCTGGGGCACAGCAAGAGGCAGAAGAGCCTTGGTGGACACATCAGCCAAAAGTACAGTCTGTTCTGTTTCACAAAGTTTAAAATTTTGGGGTCACTATACACAATTCTTGTACACATTCCATCGCCTGCTCAAAAGTCTTGTGACAGCTGGTACGTACACCCTGTCCTTAAGCACAGAACAGAGGCATTCAATTTAATATGCAGCTCAGGTGACTGAAAAACAGCATCTGACAAAAGAGCTTATTCAGGAACAAATTATGTATGTGTCACTGCTCTCTGCAATAAATGTAGAAGTTTTACAGAGCATTTGGTAAAAAAACTTGATTTTGGGGTGTTTTTTTAATATTATTTAACTAAAATTTTATGTTCGTGATTGCTTCCTACAATACACAATGTGAATGGAAAAGAAATATGAGGGAAATTACATCGCTAGCAGGAWAAAAATTAATAAATAAAATGTGCTGGAAGTAAAACAGATGGTTGGCTCCTGGTGGTTCTTTATAGTCCTGGATGACGGGTAAAGTGTTCTTACACTGAAACAGGTCTGTATCACTGTTACACTTGTGCTGTTTCAGGGTTCTTGGCATTGTAGGGTCTGGGTTTTCTAGCTGTKCCTAAACTGAAGGTCAGTCCTAACTCCTCAGCTGTCCTCGTCCCCCAACACTGCTCCTTTCCCACAGCCTGGAGGATGTTGTGGATGCAGACCACACTACTACCACCACCACACATGCCTGGGTGTCAGGACCCCGAGCACAGCAGGGCACTCACCACCTCCCAAGCAAAGCCTCTGCTGCTCTGTCTTGCAGTCACCTTCTCAGGAGAGCTGAAAGCAGTGTGGTCACTCTGTCTCTGCACACCCTCCCTGCTTTTGAACACACCTGCTGTAGATCTGTGCAAAGCTCTGCATTCTGTATTGTCCCCGAGCAAAGGGACATTCCCTGCACAGAGGCTCCCTGGCAGAGATGTTTGTGACCTCTCCAAACAATTTTGCTGCAATGCTGTCTCCAGTGGTCTAGATCTCTCTAACCTTCCTGACTAGAGTCTCAGAAATAAGATGTCACAGCTGTCAGTCATCTGCAATTCATCTTTCCCACAAAGCTATTAAATGTGACAGTAAACATTCACCTTCAGCTAAGCCCATTCTGAAAAATTACTTGAGGGCAAATTGTTGAAAAACAGACAGGCTGTTGCAAATGGGAACAGCGAGACCAGTGCCCGTGCTCATTTGCTTAAGGTTTGGGTACAAGGTCACACAGTAGGAGAAATGAAGAAAAAATCAGCATATGCTGTATAATGGGATGATTTTAATAACAAAATTGCTATTTTTCACCTCTTATTCACAAAGACTCATTCAGCCAATCTGGAACCTGACTTCTTCCCTCCACAGGTTGTCCTTAGCTTGCACTGGTACTTGCCATTGGAATACCATTGGAAGTTAATGTCTTTGGTCACCTCCCAAGGAAATACTACACTGGGCAAGGCAAGGGAAGGAGAGGAGCCAAGCACTGCTTTTCTTACCAACTGCAATCAACCTGCTAAGAGGCTGTGTCCACTCCCACAGTAAAAGGGTGAGAGAGGCCCAGATTAAGGACYGATTCAGTGAGATTTTATGTGGAGCTCTTATGCCAGAATCCTGACTTTCCATATCAGGATGACAGTTCTAAAGGATGAGGCATTACTGCCAAAAAGCATGACAGTGAAAATATTGAGACCACTGGTGCAGAAGTAGCTCTTCTCGTGGGTTGTATGCATGGTRAGTGCAATTTCAGTACATTCTGCAATGGCTCTACTCCTTCAAAAGTCCATGAGCAAAAAGAGCATTTGAAATTCATCACCTTCACCACTGAGTGCTGTTTTTTCAGCACACAAATTGTCACTAGATGGACTACATGTCAGATTTTGGAAGGTCATTTGCAACATCCTATTTCAGAAGCATCTTCCACTTATTTATGTACTGAGAATTCAGCACTTGGTCAAATTATTTTCATATTACCACAGAACAATGAGCCACACTTCTGCAGGAAAAACTGCGAACATTGTGCACAAGTGCTATAACCTTTTCATGTTTGTAGTAGCATTCCTATGACACTCAAGAAAAATTTTATCAAGTCTGTGCTGTATGTTTTTAGCATCTTATCAGAGCCACTAGCTACAAGCATCTCAAACAGAAGTGACAAAAAAAGTGCTATATCTATACTTCATGTACTTAAGTGCAAGAACTGCATAAATGACTTATGGCCCTTTCAATAGTATAGCAATCCATTGATATACCACATCTTTAAAATACCATGCCTGAACTTCTCCCTCTTAGATCTGCAAGTATCCTTGAAACACTTGGCCACTGCCTACTATTTCTTGATATGAACTTTCCATGGGTAATAGAATTTCCATACTCACAGAAAAGTTCCCATCAGAGTGCTCTTTAAATGAAGCACTTGAAAGAAGGTATGTGTAAGGTGTTAGTGAAGCATCAGAATTTGAAAGGTGAATTGCTTCTTTAGGGTGTGTCAAAAGGACTAATCCTACTTCAGAGACCAGCTATTTTATGTTGTATACTTGAAAATTCTACAGGTTCAGAAATGGACAGTATAGTCCAGACACACCATGAAAACCATTTCACTTACAGTAAAAATGCTTAGGAAATCCATGAATTTGGGGATTACTTATGTCAGAGAAGATACACATGATCTCACTTGCTATTTCACTCTCCGTTTAAGATAAGAAAAATATCCACTGCAATTCCAGACTCTTTGCTCTTCAGTAAAGAAGGAGAGGATAGTCTAGAATTTATTTTTCAATTCCAAAAGAATATTCATATGAATAATTCACATTAGTGACTGGAAAAACAAAGTAACCACAGATATATAACCCTGTAAATAACTTCTCTCCAGAGCATTTGAAAGTGTTCTGAATATCAACACTTTGTTTAAATATGAAGCTCTTAATTATAGTTTTGATTGATTATTAGTACTTAACTACATGTGTTCACAAGGAAAACATTCTGTATGAGTAATTATAGACTACATTAAAAAAAAACCAGTCATTTGTTTCCACTGCACAGTTTATTCAGTTTCGAATTAGAAAAAAATTACTATGTATTTGACAATTTGCATGCATAAACTCAAAACATTTCAGCTGAAAAAAGTTATTGATTTCTTCCAGTCTTGTATTAAGGCGTTCAGGAATTTCATCTAGGCAGACAAATATGTGGATTTAAACAAAAAACAAAAAAAAAACCAAAAAAAACAACAAAATAGACAGACAAGTTACAACTCAGATTTACTTCTGTTAACAAATACGACCACAGTGAGTCCTGTAGTAGACARTTGCATTCCTTATCTTCTCAGTGTGTATAGTTGATAGGAGTCAAAGTGAYTGGGGAAGAGTTATCTTCAGCAAAAGTTTCCTTCAACAGTTTCTTGATTTGGAGTGCTGAATAAGCCATTGTAATGTTATGTCTGCCAGGACAGATGAAACAAAATTAAAAACTCAACAGCAGGTTAATACAAATGCAAAAACCCCAGCCAAACAAAACCCAGAAACCACAGGCTCTCATTCACACATAATTAAAGTTAAACCTCCAGGTGGCCCTTTTCTAGTTATTTTTTGTATTTTATATTTTGTAGTTTTAAATCATGAGTATTTTGTATTCTTGAAACATGATGACTGACATTAAGTTCTCTACACCACAGATAAGGAACTGTTGAAAAAACAAAGATCTAAGATGACCATAAAATGAAGTTTACAATCCAGACTAGAATGAAATGTTGTGTGAGAACAAAGGCAAATAGACAAACAGAAGGAATGAGAAGGGCAAACATCTGACAACACATTAAGAAGCTATTTAGATAGGTTGTAGGAGTCCAAGGTCTCTGAAAGACATGCAACATTGGACTAAAATTTGATAGCTGAAATTGGCACCCCTCCTGATGCAATCTAACGCATTGAGCTGAAAACTGCAGCAGTTCAAACTGATTCATGAGCAGACGAGATGTTTTTGCCTCAAGGCAGTAACATCTGTCAGGAAGGCAGGAAGGATGTCAGGGGGCAGCAACAGCTCTAGCCCTCAAATTGAAATTTGTTGCCGTATTTGTCCTAAGTTCAAGACAGCACCTCATGAATATCCTTGAAGACCAGCTTAGGCACTGAGAATGCAGACAAAAGCAACCCACAGCATTTACAGCAAAGCTAATAGCCRTACAATAATCTTACAGTTACTCTGTAACTGGCAGCCTTACACCTCCTTCCTGTTGAGACCAGTTAGCTAGGCTCCTGTTTGCACTGAAAAMCCAGTATCACTTCATTCAACTACACTGATATTGATCAAAATGCAGAGGAAGAAGACAGCTCCCAGTCTTGTCCTTAACAGGCTACTACTTTCATCAGTTTAATAAGCTAAATATATTTGCATTAAAGTCTTTCATTATAAATGGTACTTTCCAGCCCTTTGATCTTCCTAGGCTCTTGCCCAGTATCTTTTCTCAAGGTCTTCCTCAAAATATGGCACATGGTGTTCCAAGAGTGCCCACACAGTTCCAAACACATGACATACACAGTGTGCTCCCTTTTTATTTTTTTTTGGGGGGGGGCAAATATTCAAGAATATGCCAAGTCTTTCTAAGCACAATATTACACTGGAAGATACCTGACCAGGTCTCAGTTAGGATTTGAGCCTTTTTCATCACYGCTCCCAGAACTTCCGGTTAGTAAGTGACCTACGCTGTTCTGCATTAATGATCATTCTTTTGTGCAAAGTTTAGCATGCTTTTTATTGCATGCTCTTTTCCTCCAGGACATCTATATAAATGGACCGGGATCAAAATTTATTTTCTCCAGGATTCTTTCAGAGGTTAAGCAGTTTTTACCAGTTTTCAGTCACAATTCCACTTTTGAGAATCACCACTGCAGCCTTGCCAATTTGACAAGGATCAAGCACAGCATTTTGAAAACATCTATCACATTCACTGCCCTTCAACTATCCTGTGTTGTCTTCCACAGACCTTATATCCTACTCTTCCCCAGTGTAACAGCACGTGTGCATTTCTCCCCTTCAGAGACAACAGCTGCAAACCAAGTTGCACCAATCCTGGGTCTGGTCTCCTTTAAACTAACATATCCAAGTCACATACAGCACTTCCAGGAAAAGCMCTCACTGTCTAACACATCTCTGCACTCAGCTGAAATTTCCCCCAGCTCACTGAAGCCCAGGTGTCAAGGTATAGCCTCCTCACCATCTCCACTACCTGGTCCTCCCTGTGTAGGATGGAAATTTCTGCTGAGAGAATGGCTTTCTTCCCACTCCCACTCTCACGGTTTCTCACTCAGCTGAGCCCCAGAGAGATTCCCAGCTCTTCTAACAAGTCTGTCTTCCTCAAGWATCAGCTATAAATATCTAGCCAGGCTGTATCTCTCCCATGCAGCACCACTTGTTTTAGCAGCATGCACACAAGGGTGGCACAGAGGTAATATGCCCCAGGCAACTGCTGCTGCTGGCTTAGCCTGYGCTTCATCCCTTCCTCCTGCCCTATGGAAGGAACAGGAAAACATAACAGAGGAAAGAGACAGGGAAGTGAAAGACAGGAGAGAGAGGAAAAGGCAAAAAACAAATTCATGGGGACAGATCTTTACTGACTACAGGATACACTTACTGCATTTCCAGTTTGAAAAAAGCACTGGTCCCTCAGTTTGAGGAACAGCCACACGCAYATAAAACCTGCTTACCAAATAAAATCATGCATTTTTTTTTAGGACAACCTAATAATTGGAAAGTCTTCAGATGCAGCTACAGTTTTTGCAAAAGTAACATGGGTTTCTTACAAGGGATTCAATTAGTCTAGGCTTTAAATGAGCTTTTCCAAGGTCCCTGTCAAATTAACTTCTCAGGGAACTAAATATCTCTACAAGTTATTTTTAAATTACACTAATTCTATGTTGAAACAAATACAGTCATACACAGTATTTGCAAAACATCTTTCAATGTAAATTGAGATTTTCAACAATATAGTGGAGGTAGATGCTCAAACCTGATCTGGTCTGAAGTACAACGCATATGTTGATGACACCAGAAGAAGCTTACCTATGTTATCCTTCTCTTTACAGGAAATAGAATAGCAACAAATTTCTCTGTCTTGAATAGCTGAAAGGTTTCTACAGAAAAAAAAATGATTAAGCACAGTTATAACTCCACGAACATTGAAAACAGAAATTTCCATTAAATTATGTTTCTGCTTTTTACTCAATGGGTTCAATTCTATTCTCAGATGTTAAATTCCTAAAATATGCCACTGCACACAGAAAACCACTCATTTCTTACACTATAAGGATTAATACATTATGATGAAGTCATTCCACAAAAATTTGAATTTGTCWTTGGGTCACTGCAATAGTGAGAAATAAAACCACAGAAATCCATAAGCTAAAAATAATGTTTTGCGGTGGCGACCAAGTATTATCCATGTCTTATCATGCACCTTCTACTCTTTTCACTTAGAATTCCAAGTTTTTATCTCCAGTAAATCATAATAAAATAACAGTACTCAAATGATCACACCATTTATCTTCAGGATGTTTACTATATCATATTTAATATATGAGATCTTACTCCTATTGAAAGAATGCCTCTACATTTAAGAAGAAACTGATTCTTAATCAACTTATWTCGGGGAATTCTCCTACCCTCCCTCAGAGTTTCTGAGCACTTTGTTTTTTTCATTTATTTATCCTCACACAAGTGACACAGACACATTGGTGCATCTTGAGTAAGGCTTTGACAGTGTCTTCCAYAATATCTTCACAGACAAGCTGAGGGAGCATGGGCTGGATGCAGAGCTGGTGAAGTGGACTAAAGATTGGCTGAACAGAGGGTGATCAGTGGCACAAAGGCTAGCTGGAGCCCAGTGACTACCAGTGTACACCAGGAACCAAGACTGGGTTCAATCCTGTTCTGCATCTTCATTTGTCATGAATGACAGGGCAGAGCACAAATTTGCTGAGGACAAAAAACTGGGAAGAGTGGCTGATACACCAGAGGGTTGTGCTGCCACCCAGAGGGACTTCCACAAGCTGGAGAAAACGGCTGACAGGGACCTCATGCAGTTCAACAAGAGAAGTGCAAAGTCCTGCATCTGGGGGAGGAACAACCCTAGGCACCAGCAGAAGTCAGGTGCCAACTGTTTGGAAAAGCAGCTTTGCAGAAAAGGACCTGGGGGTCTTGGTGGGTCATCAGGTTGAACATGATTTAGCAGTGTGGTAAAAATGCTAAATGGTATTCTGGGATGCATTAGGAGCCCTGCCAACAGGCTGAAGKAGATGATCTTTACTCAGCATCAGTAAGGTTATACCTGATCAGTTGTGGATCCCCAGTACAATAGGGATGTGAATCTACGAGAYAGAGTCCAGTAAAGGATGACTAAAATAATTAAGGAAATGGAGCAATTTGCATATTAAGAAAGACTGGAGAAGGGACTCTTTTGCCTAGAGAAGAGAAGCCTTAGGGAACATTAATGTGTACAAAATCTAAAGGGAGGCTGTAAAGAAGATGGAACCCAGTGATAATACAAGAGGCAATGGCCACGAACTGAAACACGGGAAGCTCACACTTTTYATCTCTGAGAGTGACCAGGCAAAGGTCAAAAATGCTGCAAAGTCTCCRTCYTTGGAGATGTTCAAAAGCTGTCTGGACAAGGTCCAGAGCAATCAGGTCCAATGGGCAAAAGGCTCTGCTTGAGCAGGTGGGTGGACAAGATGACCTTAARATTCCTTCCAACCTTAGCCGTTCTGTGAGTTCCAGTTTAGTAGTCCAGACTTTGGACCATCCTCACTATAACAAAACTTCACTTTTACTAATTAAAATTATGTGACTTGTGAATCCAATTTTACAAAATTAGTGTTATACTGGTCATTTTTACAAAATTATGTATTTTCTTTACAATTTCCCTTATAATGCATCAGTTTGATAGTTTTAGTCATCTGTACATTATGCTTTGGACATATGGCAAAAATACCTGACTTGCTTAAATTTACCAGCAGTAGTTTGAAATGGTTCTGTTCTTGAGCCTTTCAAGGATTTAAATAACACTACAATGTACTGTGAAAAGTCAAAGTGRTCCTGTCACTATCCATAGCAGTTGTATCTTCAGTGATGATAAAACAGGATTATCTGAAATACTTTTATACAACCAAAACAATCAAGAGACGTTCAAATCTACTGCAGTCAGTTATCAGCCTAGATCAGACAGGTGCCAGCAGAGCTTGAAGTGTAATATCTGATAATGTAAAATAACATCTTTTATAGCCAGTTATTGCCACAGACTACCAAAGATTTTCTCTTACATATCAAATTTCACAATGTCTCATCTTTTTACAAAAGCCAGCTACTTACAATTTCTCAATTAGCTGCTTCTCATCCAGTGCACCTGGGAGGTCTCGTTTATTTCCAAGAACTAACACCTGAAAGAAATCATTTATATGCATATTAAATACAGGAGCAATGAAAGTTTATTTTTGACTTTAACATTTAGTTGACATTATTCTGGATCTTGCAGCTATTTAGAATGTAATAGAGCATATGTAATAGAACATATTCAAAATGACCAGTGACTGTGGCAGCATCACGGAAATCCCGCTCATAGTCAGGGCCAGGTGCTGAATGTACAGCCTCTGAAAACTGGATCTAATTATTTCTGGGTGTATTTGTATCAGAAATCTCCTTTGGATATGAATCTCGCCATTCTGGGTGGCCTTATAGGCTGGTGTCAGATTAAATGCAAAGAAATGTGGAAGAGAACATGCATCAGGAGCACTCAAACCACTGAAGGATATTCTATTGAGAGGACCAGACTAATGTTAATCAAAAGTAGTGCTCCAGCAACAGAGGCTGGGTCCTAAAGACRCAGACACAAATCTCTCTGTGGGTTTTTGCTCCCTTGGTTCTTAACAATGATGCATTAAACAACTCAGCATSCAAATCCAACCATCACCTCAGCACCAGCCAAATGACCGAATCCCCTCCCTCCACCTGGAGTATCCATGGTAGAAATCTGAAAGGCAGCCATTAGCAATTAAGGCCAAGAAATGTAGATAATTTATCAAATAGATGTTGGAACTTCAGAGTTCCTATTTAAGCCTTCAAGTATAAATCAAAGTCAGATAAACAGGTTGAAGACATTCTAGCATAAAGTAAGCAATGGAAGGTTTTTTCTAATTAGGATTGCATTATCGTTTTCCAGGTGTGCTACAACTCTAAGACTGCCCCATTATATTCCATGAATCTGGAACATATTAGACTCATTACTTGCAGTCCAGAATAATAAAGTTGCTCTAAAATCTATAGTGCCAAATCCTTAGCACAATAAATTGAAGGAAGTTCAATACTAATTACTACACATGAAATAAAAGTAAGTAAAAAATACATCACTGCACCTTTGAAATTACCGTGCTGGTCAGACTGGGCATTTAGAATGTCATATTGTAACATATACAAGGCAAGGAACTTAATTAAATACTAATGAAGATATGAGAGACCAATCATTTCAGTAAGGAAAAGTGAGAAGCAAAACAGCACGCGAAAAGAGTGCAAAAGACAGGCAATGTCACTCTCCATGAACAGCATAACCATAAATTTCTATAGGATTTGTTCAACAGATAATTCATAGATAAAATCACAGCAATAATAGCAAACCCTATAAAGAAAGATAAGAGAATCACTTTAAAAATTCTCCTTTAAGAATAGTGGGGGGAGAGGAGGGAGAAAGAGAGGGAGACTGACTACTGGAGGTACCACTTTTATAAAGACCAGGTCCCAGGTATCCGTGGGTGATGATACCATCCCATAACTTGGATGGCATGGGTGTAAACACTTCTTTCCTCTCCCAGTTTGCATGGTGGCAATGTCTGGATGCGTGGGATGTCCACATGCTAACTAAACCTTCAGCTCCATTAGGTCTGGAATTAGCTCCTTCCTGCTGTGGCATCTGTGCTAATCTCAAGTTCCTGTTCTGGTGGCTTATGTTAAGGGAAGTTTCTTCTGTGGCTTTCACAGGGTTCTGGCACAGCTCAGCTGCATTGTCTAGGTCCTTACAGAGATAATTTCCATTACTTGCAGTGGTCAAGTGTCCAAATAATTGCTTATGAAAAAGGGGCCAAGATCTGAGCAACTTCTTCATTTATGTACTACTGTTTTCTTTCTTATAATCAAAAGTATGAATTCTTGCTTGGTGGTGTCAACATAAAGACCAGTGATAAACTGATGGATTTCTAAATCGGCAGACATTTAAACAAACAACATTAGTCTTCACTTTCGTAATCCCTCGTTAGAATTTCAGCTGAATACACTATTCTTTGACACTTCCAACTGGAGAACAGATGCGTATTTGCATTTTTTCCACACAATTTAGTTTGAAATATTAAGTCAAGAAGTAAGAACACATAAAAAGACATGCTCCTACACAATCTCTGGAGGCAGAGGACACTACCTGATGTTAACTGTTCACCAGCCTGGATACTGCCAGGAACATACCTGGGTCACTGGTTAACACCCAGACAACAAGGGGTTGTCTGGAAGTAATTACTGTCTGATAACGCTACATGTGAAAACATAGTTTTTCCAAATCTATTCTGATCTTTAGCCAAGAAAATGCACAAACACACTGCAGCACTCTTAAGCTGCTGAGTACTATGAAAAAAAATCACAATAATTTTTCAAATAGTGCTCAATGTATAAAGGCTGCATCATACAGAACCTAGTATTTTCAAGAGACCAGAGGAAGCAACTAATGAGGATTTAGGCTACACTGTCAACATTCAGGGAAGAATAATAATGAARATACTTACTGGAATTCCATGCAGTTGTGGCTTATCTATCAAACTGTGTAGCTCATTCTTTGAAGCTTCTACTTTTTCTAAGTCTGCTGCATCCACCATGTAACTGCAATGAGAATACAGTTATTTATGGTATTGACCATTACTTGCAGAAATTTGCATTAAAACATCTGCAATGTGACAAACGTTTGACAACAGCATTAGAAAAATCCAGAGTTGTATAAGCCCTGCATTTATTGATCCAGGAAGATGGAGAGTTAAATACAGCCTGTGGGGGAAAAATGGCCTCGAATAATACTACTTATATGTCTGGGTTGTGGCATGTGCAAAACACAGTTCTTTTCTTGTTCTTCTTATGGGGGTAGACAGAAAAAAATCAATTTTATTTATATATATTATAATATAATGTAATATCTAACGTTATAATATATATATATTGCAAAGTACATTTTCTGTGGACATACAAAAGAAAACTTACACAACCGCATTGACTCCTCTGCAATAACGCTCCCACATGCTTCGGAACCTTGGCTGTCCTCCAATGTCCCATACCTGGAAAAGGTAAGAACACTTCAGCCCCAAAATAGTTTTGAACTACACAGTACTAACCCACAGAACAAATGAACTCTTATATGCCACATGCAGGTTGTATTGCCAATTCCAAAATTTTGTTGAAATGTCTTCTCATCGCCTTCCAGTCAATGGAGGCGGACATGCACATTCACAGATTTAGTCCTGTGACACTGAAATGTTCTTTTGGAGAATGTTAATTTTCCCACTCACTGAAAGAAAAGTCTTACTCAGATACTAAAGTGAATTATTGCAAATACAGTCTCAAAACAAAAAAGTATCATCATTGTATGAAATAGTACRCAGTTGAATTTTTAATGTGGCTACGGAGACCTGAGTTAAGAATGTATCAGATCTTCAACAGCATAAAGACAGATATTAAATAAACAAGGAGTTGGTCAGAGAGCAGATTGAATCCACATAAGGTATGAGACACCAAGAAGCTCCAATACCTACACAGCTCTCCCATTTGGTGAACAAATGTGCTTAAAAAGACACATGGATTAACTAATCAGAATCAGAAAGGAAAAAGTACAGATAGGTCTGAAGTAATTAAGCAGTGATTCTTAAGGAAAGTAAGCTCAAATTCTGCTTATGATTTTCTGAAAGCTCCAAGCTGGCACTAATAGCATGTGTAAGTTTTAAATACTTACACATGGTATTAGTGCCAGGCCATCCCACAGAATTCCTATTTGTTAAAACACTAACACATTCCTTTTCTGTACAGGAGTTACTTCTTCTGCTTTACTTGCAAAAAAATTAGTACTTTTGGTGGATGACAAAACTATTTCTCAGATCAAAATACCAGGGAACATAACTACATGGTGCAGGCCACGGCTGTGTGATAATGTAGCTGTTGTAGCTACATTCAAAGACAGTTTTGTTACAAGTGACACACAGATTAAAACAGTGATGAACACTGAAATATAGAAGTAATGGATTTGTTCCTCTGTCAAGGACAAAGGGAAGTAACTATTTCTTATTTTAGCTGCCAAATAATATATACTGTATATCAGATCGAGGAGGCATATATATTACACAAGAAACTAAATTTGGAACTAATATACACGCTATATTAGTAAAATTTTTTAAGAGTTGTCCTCACATTTACACTATAAATCCAAATGTATTAAACCTCCTGTGGCAACAAAGATTTGCACAAAAGAGCAAGACTTCAGAGACCCTTTTTCAATTAATGTCCATTATTGTTTTAATTTCCCAGTCTGGAAATTATATTTATGTATCAGTTTCTGTATAATTTTCAATATCTTATATTTTTATTTTAGAAATATTTCACAATTCAACATTAAAATAATTCCCTGATTGATATCTTACCATTCCCTCTAACATAAAATTATTATATCACCTAAATGTAGAGTGCCTTTGATCCCCATATAAAATSAAAAATTTTACATATGAAAGACTTCTAACCATGAAATGGGTATCAATTATTATCTGTACTGACATTTGAAGCACTGTATCAAAGGTCTTAATATTATAAACCTTTATACTTTAAAACCTTAAATATGATGAATACACAGTTCAGCATTATGGTTAGGTGACAAAACTTAAACCAACACTAATTATTCCAATAACTCATCAAGACCTTGAAACTATCCAAAGCCATCTGGTGCACATCTGTGTGTCTGGAAAAAGAAACTAAATTATTTTCTTGGTAGACTAGAGAAAAAAAGAAAGGGAAAGATGATAGGGCAGGCTATTAGTCAGATTAGATTTTTGGAATGCTGATAGCCTGAAAATCTACAAGATGATGTAGCCTGGACTAATCACAAAATAAATAGTACAAGGGAAAAAAAACTGGGTTTTTCCTTGCTTGATGATATACTATATCTTATTGCATTAAACTGCACTGCAGAACAAGATTACTCTCATTAGGAGAAAAAGTCACCTTGAAACAATGGAAAGATAAGTCATTTCCAGTCAGTTTCCCTAATCAGGCTTACAGCTATTCATTAAAGTACCATATGAAGGACACAAGACAGACTAGGTGTTTTAACAGTGTTTTGGAACCAAGTTTACATCAATACAGTAAGTTATAATTATCTGAAATATGGAAAAAAAAATGCATGAAATGAAAAATATCCTCACCTCTTTCCCTTTGAAATAAAAATGGTTCTAATAGTAACTTTATAACACTCTTTATAATATTGAATAGTCAATGAGAGTGTTAACTACTTTACTGAAAACACAAATTGCTGCACCAAACCATTTTCACAGCACATGACTGAACAGAATCATGAGAATACAAGAGGTACCCAGGAAGGAAAGGAGAGAGGTCTTAATGTTAAAGAAGTTGTCTTGCAAGGGCCTTGCATGTTTTGTGCATCAGCTATTTTTGTATCCCACTATTTAATACACAGGTAAAACGTATATTCTGGGTATGAACAGGGAGAGCCAAGAGATTATACTTTAACAGCTGAACAGAAAGCTAGCTGTAAGAAGACGTTCACTTTGTCTGGTTGTTTTTAAAAAGAGACTGGACTTCAAATTTCTCCCATGGCTTTTATTGGTCACTCAGGAACAAAAGTTTCATAATATTTAAAAGGTAATTTTATCTCTAGAACATCAGCTGATTTTAAGAATTAAAAAAAGCTTAGAGAATGACTAAATTTAGAAAGTGTCTTTGATACCCAGTACCATTGCCTCACAGGAGATTAAAATCTCAAGGAGTTGTTCAGGATCAATCTCAAAGGCACAAATCTTGCCGGCACTGCATTTTATAAACAAATGTTTTACTCATTCCTATCTATTCCTATACTATACTAATTCTCATTGTGCTTGCAGGTCTGCACTCTCAATAAACAGCGCATTGTTTTAATCTGTAAAGTAGATCACTATGATGGAATCACTGTTTACAATATACTTGTTAATCAAATTTTTCTAAGACCAGGAACTGGATACATGTCCTTCTAGTTTCTTCATGAGGATCTAAGGCTCCATCTTAAGATTGTAGCTATTAGCTATGTTTAAGGAGCAGATCCTTTTCTTTTGCACAGAGCTGTATCATGACAGTTTAGCAAAAATGCATGTGAATAGTATGTGAAATGCATGTGAAAGCACTTCAAAGATTTTTGAAAGTTTTCAGATACAGGAAACATTATCACATCATTAACACTCTAGTTGTGTTTCTTTTAATTACCTCATATTGTGGGAAGGCTTGATAGTTCATGAGAAAGTTGCAGGAAAAGTATTTTTTAGATGTGATTTTACATGGCTTTTTCAGACGTGCTGGGTAGGACATTTCTTGTGGACAGAGATGTGAACAATAACACATTTCTCTCTTGATGTCAATGTGTGGGTTCAGTACCTACAATCTCACAGTAGTCAGCAAAGTCTAGACAGCCATTCAGCTGATCAGATGTAACATCTTGTTTAGGATGACAGAATTATACTCTAGGCTTGACAGCACTGACTACAGCTCCCCTGACTATTATTAAAAGAGCTTAAGCCTCACTGCAGACATATAGCTTACATACAGACATCGTAACCTGCAAGATGAATCCAACACTACAAATATTTGAMCTCAGAAATGTATCTTTCTCTGTGGAAGCATTCAGGAAATATCAGCTGTAAAACCTGACCTAAACAAACAGGTGAGGAAATTGTAAGCACAGGGAAGTGTTTGGGCAGAATAAGCCAACACCACCATAATGTACACAGACAAGCCTAAGATGTGACCAATGTGCACACACAGCAAGCAGTCAGAAGAAGAAAGCCCTGATTCTGCATGACTATGTGCAGTCCTTTGTACCCTCTCTTCACACGATCGTGGATTAGCCTCTAGACATCGTAATAAAAAAAATATTCTGGTGAAATTATAAGTCTCAGGCAGACCTTGCATTTAGAAGACTGAGGGGAAGGAGACCAGAGGCAAGGACACTATAGCTCAAATCAGCCAATCATTAACTACCACACCAATTATTAATGTTGCTTGCTCTTCAAGAACATATAACCATGAAAGCAAAAATTTCTGTTCGCTAAACAGCAGAGAAAATCCAGGAGGATGTGCAGCAGTGGGTATGTTGGGAAAAGGTAATCTAATATTGGTAGATAGGACATGAAAAGTATATTCTCCCATGACAGGTTAACTCCCCGTACAGATTAACTCCAAGTAGCTGTGGCTACTTGGCACTCTCCTCATGTATTCTCCTTGCTCTCTACCTCTCAAGTCTGAGCAATTCTAACAGATTCACAGCATTTAACAATGAAAGAAAGATGCCGAAGACAGAGCTGAGCAGGGACAGCATTTATGGGTCCCAGGAGTCCCAACTGGATGCAGGAATAGAATACCTGTCTATAAAAGCTGATAACTGCAAGATGGGAGTGGATAAAAAGATCAGATTTTAAAGTACTGGACTAGCTAGAGGAATGGTCTGAAATAAGGCAGCTGAAACCTAACACAAGTTCAGAATGCCACATTTGGACAGAGGAAGCCAAATGCACAAAATGGATAACCAGGCAGAGGTGCAGGACAAAAAGCTTGATTAGTTCACGAACTAAATATGCATTTCAACAGTGCTGCAGATCTTAAATCAGCATGGACTATCAGAAGCATCTCTTGTATGATTTTGGATGTATGTACTGTCCTGTCCTCGGTGTCTGGAGGCTTCTATATTGATTTTGAGCATCAGTCTAAAGAAGAGACACAGGTAAATTTTAGAAACTCCTGATTAGATAAAAAAGTGAGATTTTAACAATATGACCTATAAAGAGGGGAGAAAAACCATAATGATTCCTGCGAAATGGCTGCCAGATACATAAGAATTAAAAAGCAGCTCAATTTATGATGACAGCAACTCTTGCCAGCTACAAGAAAAAAAGCTTTCTAAGATGAGAGAAAGAAAGAACGTTGTGCAAAACAAGGGATGTTGTGGAACCTTCTTCACAGAAGAAAGAATTTTAAGAAACAATTACAGATGATATTTGGGTAAATATCTGATTCACTCTTGAGATCATCTCTT